ACCAGCATTGTTTTTCTGGTCTCAAAAGATTTCACAATTTGGCTTATTAGAAAGAAAAATAAAATGCAAAAGGAGAGTTAATTAGTTTTATACGGTACAGATACCAGGGGGCTGTGATGTCCAAAATGGAGATGATAATGTAATAACTTGCTGACGGAAGGGAAATACAATGTACATGTAGGGAACTTCACTCATTGTACCCCTAATGTAATTATGTTTCCGACCGAGGCCCCCTTTGTAAGCGCCATTCATTTTGTGCTAATAATAACTTCCAATTCCCAATTCAAATTACTGTAATTCAGACTTTGGTGTGATTATCTGGGATGGGCCATAAGATTATGAAGCAAGGCATTTAGACAAATATCCCCCAAAAGGTTAATCTCACCTGTTACTTAAATTGATTACCAAAAGAGCACATTTAATTTAGATATAATGCTCTATATATAAATAAAACTGCATAATGCAATGGTAAAGGAAACAACGCTAATGAACAGGACAGCTATGAAATCAAGATGCTTTGTGCTTCCTTGAAAAGACAACACTGAAGAGGGCTGCAAATTGGAACCTGGGAGCATTTTCTCATTACTATCCACCAAAAATCATCAAGTACAGAGTCATCCTGTCATGTAACAGCGTATGAAGAGGTGGGAGCATCTGTACCAGTTTCCAACTCTGACATGTCGGTTCATGAATCATACTCTGAGGTGTCCAGAGATTCGGCCAAACTTCTTGATGACAATCTGGAGGAATTGACAATCTCACACTTGTTTCTCCCTAAAGGCTTGTGGGAGCAGAGCTCAGGATAATTTCTTTGAGCCAGTACTTCAACTTGTCACTTCTGTATTAGAAGAAATAGTTAAAATTAGATGGTTGAATATTTGACAAGAACAAGAGTTACCATGACATGACTGGAGCAGAAGAAAGAGTGAATTTATGAGATAGATCATGCACATGATCCTTCAAACAGCTCATTTTACTTTCTATTGATGTACATGCATGACTATTCTTAGCTTAAGAGTAGGCCTCACAAAATACCTATGCAACACCTTCTCTTCACAGACTGCCTATGCAACACCTCTTTCCAAATGCAATGTCAATACATGTAGTTGTTGATTTGAACATTTTATAAAGAGTCAAATTTGTAAGCACTGGGCAATTTGAATAACTGTCAACCTGTCATACTGCTGCGATTGAAGATCAGTTCCGTCATGCTTCATAATCACCGTCACAAACATTTGATCAATCTTCGACATACTCATGATTTCCAGGCCATCAATCACTATCTCTGTTGAACATCTCATAGGCCTCTTGGTGCTCCATCTGAAGTTCACCCCTTTAGTACAGACAGTAACCGCTTTTCATACTTTCACTTCATCCAAACAGATTTTCCCATTACACCCCCTTGAACCTATTTTGAGAAAATGGAAGGAAAAAAAGGAAGGAGTGACTGTGGAATTATGCGTGTACAATTCAAAGAGTCAGATTGGTGATATGCAGGCACTTACTTGCATCTGAGCAGAATGCCCTGCAAGAAAGATAACTACGAGTACAACAAATTTTGCATGTACGTACTTCAACTTGCCAATATTGTAAGGTTTGGATAGAATTGATATGAGCCAGCAGTTATAAAAAAGTGTCTGACTGTGTTGACATTCAAATGAGGATCCCACAGCACAATGGAGCTGGAACAAGTGCTGGTTTCCAATCACCACAAGTGGTGGTTTATATCACAGTTTTCAATGAAATAAAAAATGATTTCCTTCATTACTGTCTGCATTATTCACCAGGATTATGAACATGAACTTAAGTTTTAAGGGAGCCTGAAATAATGATCATGGGTACTGAAAGACACGAGGCCAAAATTGTTTTATTTTCCCCCAATAAACGAGATATTTTTAACACGAGTAAAAATTAGAAAACACATCAATCAAATACTGTCTACAGCTTACCCTTCAGGATGTGTATCAAAACATTCTCTGTTCTTTTTCTCTCTGCTGCTTGTTGAAGCATTCCTGAAAAGAAATTTAAGAGAAAATACAATTTAAACCATCTTGCTTGTGCTCTGAATCTTTACTAATCATATTATTATTTTCGTTAAGGCACATGCCGTCCGCATTGCCGGACATCGTCATGTTTACTGCTTCCTGTCATGACCCACGACCTTTGTTCCGGTCTCGGAGTGGACAGTTCGCATCACGTGGTCAGATTACATCATTCGCGAGCAAGTTTTAAATGTGGCGAATTTTGCACATAAAGCTTCCTCGACGGCAAAATAATTCCACCTGAATTATTAAAAAACTTGGATAACTTGCGGAGAACTTTTTGATTTGTCATCTCTGGTAATTTATGTACTTGATTCTGTTCAGAAAATCTATTCCCGCAGTTGCTTGCACGAAATGAAAGAATTTAGGGGTTCAGCTGATGGCCTATCCCCCAACTTTTCTTGTGTTGAACAACAACTGTAAAGCGGAGTTTGAAGAGTTTCCAGGATTTCCCAACAATTAAAATGTTTGCAATATCACTAAATTGGGAAAGCAGTTTCCAACAGCCATAAATATGTGTACCTTTCTGATAAAAGCTTCTGTATGAATTGAATACAAATTACAGATGAAAATCTTCTTCATGAACATCACCCCCCATATAGTGTATACTTCGCACGGCTGATCGATCTTCGCGCCGCGGCTTCTGCACAACTCCCATGCACAAAACCCCAGCTGACTATGCCATGTGAGTTTTATTTATCCAAATTCAATCCCAGAATTCCTCGCGCCCGAAACATCGAAATGGCTTATTGTTTCATACCATGACAAACGAAGACGCCATGTTTGCGAAATCAAAACACATTTCTTCCTTCAAATTAACAGCTTTGGAAATTGTTAATACCTCTACTTCCATACCATAACTCTCAGATGCTTCTTGCAATCAAAAAGCAATACGTAAGATTATGATTTCAAGAAAGAAGTTAAAATTGTCTAGGCCTACCAGGAATTGTCGCGCACTACCATCCGTCGAGTATATGCCGTACGTATCCATATCCGGCCAGCAGAACGTTTCTGGAAAACAACCACTGTTGCGTGGTGGCGCCCTTCTTACTCACCAACTGAAGGTTCCAGAATAAAAGGACCCGTACAATTTTAGTTTATTAGTATAGTTTACGTATAATACGTGCGTGCGTGTGGTCCAATCCAGTCCCATCCCTTCATGTACATTAAAATAATGAATATCTATTTATTCAGATATTAATTGTTGCTGTCTACTTAAAAGGAACAATTCACAGCTGAGGTGGGTAGGCTGTTCAGGCAACGACCACTCAAACCATTCAAGCAAGAAGCTTTTTTTTCGGGGGGGGGGGGCGATCGAGGCCTGATGAAAAGCCCAACAATATCTTGGAGATTGGCTGAAACGTTTCCGATGTGGACAAAGATTTTACTGCTTTTACCTAAAAAAACAGAGGCAGAATCATTTCAGTCACGTCAGGTATGTAGGCCCGACATGTATTTAGGCCCTATAGTGAACAATAACTGCAGGCTGTGAAAAACTTGCCTCTATTACCTCAATATGACAATATTCATTGACATCCCAGCAGCATGGTGTAATAACGAACGACATTACAAAAAAGTAACAAGAACCTCTATAAAAACAGCCCGTCCAGCGGCATAAAGTTGTGTCTGCAGCAAATTAAGCCGCCCCAGGACCTCATAGGCCTATCAATTATAGGTGCTATGTTCCGGTTTGTTCGAATTAGTTTTATTTGTATCAGTGCATGACAGGGGCCATGCTACACCCACCGATTCTCAGTTTGTTCACTGTCAACATGAACGAATCCAACTTGATGCTGCGCTGGTTAAACTGTTGAGCCTTGGTGGTTGGTGCACACTCCATCGCTAAACTTGCACACCTAAACCAAGACATGTGTCGCCAAAACCGCACGAGTGGATCAGAGCTTGGTCCACCTTGTGAATGTGGTTCCATTCTCGCCAGCCGCTGGGGGACCAGCGTGCTTTCCGGCAGTCCCAGTCAATGCAAAACTTCACCAAAGCTGCATTGAAATTAATTCCCTTCATTTTAATAACGGAAATTCTGAAGGACTGGCCAAGCTGTAGCGGGTCCAGCGCAGGGCAAAGACCGTTTCGGCCCCTTTAATTCTCTATTCATCGCATTGTGTTTAATATGGTGAGTCGAATTAACTCGAGCTAAATACTTGACTCGAGCCCACTTTTGGCTCAATGACTAGTAATGACTCGACTCTACTCAAGTCACAAACGTTGGTTACTCGTTACAACTCTGCTGGAATGACAGATGTATCGGCGGAACATCTGAAAGTCATTTGGGGGCATTTGAAAATTTACCTCAGCGTTTCTGCATTACGGTCGCAAGACATCTTACTCTTTGTGATAATAACACATGGTAAGAACATCATAAACCGGCACGTACTTTTCAAGTCATGAAAGTAGTTTTTGTGTTTTTATTTTGGGGACTCGAGTGTTATCAGCTTTCGAGTCGGGTCTGCTGATGAGGGACTCGAGTCGAGTCTGGGCATTTGCTCACAGTAACTTGAGTCGAATCATTTACCTGCTGGGAATTGAGTCGAGTCGAGTTGCCAAAAATGTATTTCGAGTCGGACTCGAGTCAAGTCACTGACTCGAGTCATTACAACTCTGTAATCCAGTAACAGGGCACGGAGGTTGCAATCACAACCACCAGCTGAAAAATGTTATAAAATATAGAGGTTAGGCTTATAGCAGAAAGACTCCGGTATAAACATAACTAGGCGCAATCGGACGGCGAAATCGTTCTGACACTATGGGGCTAACCAAAGCCAAATCCAGCTGGCTTAATCAACAATGTTTAACATGTCTCAAAATGAAAATTACTGTGGCAGTCTCCGTCGACGGAGCCTCGGGCTTGCCCTCGGCCGACCCAACGAGCGGCTGAAGAGGCGGCCGGGGGAGGCACGTCCGTTCGGAGGCAGTCTACCGCCAGGTGCCAAAGCTATCTCTGGGAACACTAGGTAGAATGGCGACGGGCTTTTCCTTATATTAAGTTGGCCGGGGGGAACTCTACGCCAAGATCAACTGATACAGTGACCCATGCTGGATTCAAGATTAGCTCTAATTATTTATTAATCAAATGTTCTCCTATTCAGGTGATTCCTGTATAATTATGATTTACAACAGTCGTTAAGCGATCAATACAATCCTGGCAATTAATTAATTACAGGGCTGATAGTGGTGGGGACAATCCAGTGAAGCCGCCCAAGTACTGCTTCACCCCTAGTGTCTGAAGATGCCGGCTTACACCTACAGCACTAATCCCCGCGGAAGATCGCTGTCACGTAGAGCCCGAAGTGCCGTACGTACTACGTATTGCCAGACAGACAACAGAAGAAGCGCGCGCTCGTTGTTGATGTTGTTTTGTTTTAATGGCGCTTTCAGCAACTCGGGCTATTTGCGCCAATAACTGTACGTTTATTCATGCACTTTATTAATCAGCATCACATTACGGAGTTAGGAAGAAGGTCCAGTTTAACAGGCAGGAGGAAACCGGAGTACCCGGACAAAACCTGCGAGAGCGAGTATGGACTGGAAACCAAATGCGCTTAAGGCCTAGGCCAAGCCGGGACTCGAACCCGAGCGAGCTTCATTGGTGCAAACGAAAGAACCGCTACACTAACCCGCTCCCCCAAGGGCGCACTGCCTGCGCGTGGGCCTTTTATGGGTGCACCACTAAAAATAAATTCCCATAGACGGCAGTGATAAATCCCCATACTTCACAAATATTTTAAAAATACTCACAATTCTCACAGGTGTTCAGGATGCACAGAAAAATAATGTTCCACATGTCCTCTTTCACTTTCCTTTCAATTTTCGGGGAGTTGACCAATGAATTTTTGAGAAATTTTCACCAGAAGCAGACCACCCCTAAAATGCAGAAAATGTCCCTGTCCAGAAAAGTAGCCCTCGGCAAAATGGCTCAAATAGTGCCACTTTCAAACCCGATTGCATCCAATTTGCCCCGAAATAGGGGCCTAGGGCGCCCCCTTATTATTGTTCAGCATAATTATGTCATGAGTCTGGTGGCCCGACGTCGTTGCACGATTTCTTGCGCTGGCCGTGTTAGCACCTCGTGGCTGGTGTGTGGGTATAAAGGGTGCACCCTCGTATTAAGGCCAGAAATATGTCCACCGAGCTCATTAATAAAAGTTATACACTCAAAATATTCTATATTAGAGGGTCCTGAGAGCCATGGAACTGAGGAATTGAAGAAATATGAGACTGAACCTCTGGGCAGGAGTCAAGGCTTCCAATTCTGAGCACGGAGGCAATCGGGTTTGAAAGTGGCACTATTTGAGCCATTTTGCCGAGGGGTGGTTTTTTCAAAATGGCTATTTTTCTGGAGAGGGACATTTTCTGCATTTTAGGGGTGGTCTGCTTTTGGTGAGAGTTGTGAGTATTTTTAAAATATTTGTGAAGTATGGGGATTTGTCACTGCTGTCTATGGGAATGTAGTTTTAGTGGTGCACCCTTCGCTACATTATCCACTGATTTCAAGACACACCCTCGCCGTACTGGTTTAGTTGCTCCCTAATGCATTCGCAGGCCCTGACCTCATAAGGTCACTTCAGCCAACCTCGATTCCTTGGGCTATGTGTGTGTTACTTCAAAGATCGCAAAGAGTATGGTAGAAACCAGCATGGCGAGGAAAGATCGCACCCATGGGAACGAGGTTGCCCTTAAGAACACTGCAGTCATTGGACGGCGCTTTTCGAAAAAAAATGTGCATCTCCTAAGAATAATGTATTTTATCTTACAGTGATAAAATGAATTATATTATTCCATTCCATTCAGGTTTTTGTCTGTTTTTTTCAGATGTTACAATTCCTCATCCTTCTAACCATTGGTCTACTGTGGATGGACATTTTACCCAGACTCGAAACGAAGGCTAAGACAGCATCCCATTACCGAGGGCTGGCACCTCAACGTTTTACTGGCTGGGCTGGCAGCCATGCAAACGTCACCGATGGGAAAAGTTCAGGCCGCACCATCATGACGACAAAAGACACTTTCAACAGGTTTGGTGAAATAAGCGAGTTCACGTCGGCGTCTGAGGAGCACTGTAGGTATAAGATTCAACTGTACGATGTACGAGGTGCTCTGGTCAAAGGAAAAGGTAACAGCTTTCATTTCAATCGCATTTTGAAGAATTTAACAGCCGGCGTTCCGTGTGACAGGAACTGCACTGTTGAGGTTGTTTTTGGTAACGAGAAAAATAACTTCACAGGAATGGACGCTGTCGTCTTCCACATCTTTATGAACTCAGTTCCATCTCACGGTCTTCCTGCTGTCATGAACCCCGACCAGGCTTGGGTGTTTTGCTCGTGGGAGTCACCACGCACCTCAGTTTTTCCGGGAAGAAAGGAGCCCAAGCTGACGGGTTTAACTGCCAACGCTGTGTGGACCTACCATCGGGCATCAGAGATTACGACCCCGTACGGATTCTACAAGCCCGGGGTACCAATGACACATGAGGCAAAAACGTCCGATGAGTGGGTGCAAGGAAAGACGAAGGTAGCTCTTTGGGTCGCTAGTAACTGTGGAGTCACTTCCTGGCCAAGGTTAAGCTTTGTCAGAAAGCTACAGAGGTATATTCCACTTGACATCTACGGACGCTGCGGAAATCTTACCTGTCGACCCCGCACGTCCCCCAAATGCACCGTGGACCTGGTGCGAAAGTACAAATTCTATCTGGCCTTGGAGAACTCTGAATGCGAGGACTACATCACGGAAAAAGCCTGGGAAAAACCTCTCATGCAGGGCGTGGTCCCCATCGTGTACGGTGCTCGACGGGAAGACTACGAAAACTTACTCCCTCCAAATTCCTTTATCTATGTCGGAGATTTCAAAGATATGGAGAAACTGGCAGATTATTTGAAAATGTTGGACCGTCATCCAGATTTGTACTCCAAATACTTTGAATGGCGGTATAAAGGCAACGTAATCTACACTGGAGCAATGTATAAGACGTTTGACCCGTCTAGATTATGCCATCTCATACCTGTCATTGAGAAAGTGCGCAGAGGCGAGTTGCAACGAAAACCAGTTCTTTCTAGCGATTTCTTTCAAACGTGTCGCAAAGAGCCATTTTTGGGCAAAGGGCTACGTTGGGATCCTTGGTAAGTGTGTTCAGTATGCTGGACACATACTGTGGGATAGTACACGTGCAGTCCATAAGAACGATACAGTGATGCACCATGGTCCTTTAACACCCAGTGTCTACCACATAAAGCAAACTAGACATTTGACACGAAAGTTGGTCAATGGATTTCTTGTAATATTGTTGCCCTCCCAAATATTCGCAGCACTTTTTTGTCAGTCTTTTTTTTCAACCATCATGAGAATATCAGAATTAGCTTATCGGAAAACAATAATGGGCGATTCGTTTTATACATGTAGTGCCCCACCAAGGGGATTGTCACAGAGAGGCCATTTTTCAAGTTTCAGGTCGTGGCTAACTTCCTGCAATTTTCTTTTTTTTTTGGGGGGGGGTTGTTTGTTTGTTTGTTGGGGGTGTTTGTTTGTTTGTTTGTTGGGGTGTGGGCGTGTTTGTTTTTTTGTTTGTTCGTTCGTTCGTTTGTTTGTTTGCAGCGGGCTGTGCTGCCATCGAGATCTCCATAAATCGTGATTTTTTTTCGGTTTTAGACCTCGATTGTTCCAAACCATATTCTTCGATTCTTAGTTTACTGTTATAGCTCTCTTTTGATAAATTTTTGTACCTTATTTCTCTGTTGTAAGAGACTTATGTCTCGTTTTGGTTTTGGGCGTTGGCCCTCGTTGGGTTAAGGCTGGCCGCCATGGCTGGTCATGATAAAGCTCAGCGTTCTGATAATGGTCCTTCAACCTCAACAGCCAATAGGGCACCAAATTCCATGATCAGTGATCCAGACCCGTTTGATAACATAACAAGGGATAATGGTGTAGTGTTCAAAGTCTAGGACAATGTCCCTATTGCCGCCTATGTGGACGCTTTCAGTGACACGGTAAACCCTCATTCCGTAGTCTCAGCATCGCGTATCTCTAATGGCCGGGCAGCCATTTATCTAAAGTCGAGACGAGATGTTGAGGATGCTGTTCCGTTTGGCTTGAACTACAACGACAACTTTATTGAAGTCTCTCCCCTGGTACCGCCAACGACATGCCTAATACTTTCGAATGTTTATCTCGAGATACCCAATGATGTGCTCACCAAAACTCTTTCTGGGTTTTGCAAGGTTGTGTCACGCATTAAGCCGATTCCTCTCAGTATCAAGACCAAAGAGCTGTCTCATGTCTATTCGTTCAGACGACAAGTGCATGTTCTTATTGGTATTGGCATAACTATTCCAGATCATATGAACATTGCCTATAACAATGTCAACTACAGAGTTTTTCTATCCAACGGTTCTGTTAAATGTTTTAATTGTGGGTAAAGCGGGGAAATAAGCAAAAACTGTAAGAAGAAATCATCTAGTAACGACAATCCTCTGAATCCCCCACCGGTTTTCCATCATTCCAAGTCTGACCCGAAACACCCACCTAAATCTAGGCCTCAAACATCTGGTAGCACAAAACTACCCTCTACATCCGATGCAAGCGGGGAAACGTCAAATCCCTGGGCATCTCGCGAGAAATCGCAAGGTACCTCGTCTGTACCGTCAACAACCCGCACAATTAAAGATAACCCGGATGGTCCTGTATCGAGACCGGCCAAAGAAAACCCAGTACCCCCAAAAGACAAGAGTATTCCAAATCAGGAAGCAAATCAAAGTAAAACAAAAACTGACTCGACTGCTCCTAACAAACCCTTTACATCTTCATCAACATTTGAGCCTCCACAGTTTGTTTCCGTATGGGGATTCCCTGCTCATCCAGTGCGACAATCTCGTGCCTCTAAGCACACCATCCCCTCCAAGAAAAATCACTAGACAGGTCGACTCTCCCATGACTTTAGCTACCCCTAACTCAACTCAAGCCACTGAAGCAACCCCACGAACACCTTCTTCCCCTGCTGAATCTCTAGTTGTAACTGAAGGGGCAGAATCCGGCACAGACTCAGCTTCTTGGGAAGACATGGATCAATCCCAACAAATTAGAGAGCAGAGTTTACCTAAAAGTGCAGGACCACTGTCCAACCAAGAACTTATAAAGTTCTTCAAAGCTGTTAAGTCTAAGAAAAAAACGGATGAAATAGCAAAACAATTCACGAACAACATCCCGGGGCTTGTCAAACAACTAAAGCCTCCTCGCAATAGCTCCCTCGTCCAAAAGAGGACACAGCATAGAATTCGGAAGCTGATCAAGACACTTGATCCTAATGATCCTGTTCTTCTGTAAACCCGGGAATGCGTCATTTTTACCAGCTTTTCCTCCTTGTCATGGTCCTTTCTTTACTATCACTGAACACTGGAGGCTGTTCGTCCTCAGTGAAAAACACTGCCATTCGACTGTACATCAAAGATTCATGTAAGAATCCTAATGACATCTTTCTTCAGGAAACTAATTGGTTAAAATCTCATGACAAGTATTGGAGTACGTGGCCTTATACGTCTTTTTGCAATGAAGGTCGTAATCATGGAACTGGTGTTACTACTCTCATCAAAGTCAATGATAACATTAATATTCATTCTCATGTGATTATATCACTTGGTTATGATAATTATAGTCATCTTGAAATTGACAACATTGAGTTTCATTTATACAACATTCTTGTTCCTCAAAATAACAATAACGCATTGAATATTCTTAGAGAGATTCAACTCCATTGTGAGCAAAGAGAAAATGGAATAATTTTATTTTGTGGGGACTTTAATTGCACTCTTAATCCCTCTCTCGACAGGTTTCGTAATGACACTGAAACGAGACGTTCGGTTGCCGTTACTCTTCAAAATATTTGCTGTGGTCTTAATCTTTGTGATATTTGGAGAAAACGTAACCCAGGTGCCAGTCAGTTTACTTGGTTTAGAAGCAATCCTTTTAAACCTGGTCTCATGTCAAAAGCTAGACTTGACCGTTTTATGGTCCATGTGATATAATGTCTTCTATGAGTTCCTGTGGCATTTTCCCTGCCCTTTTTCAGATCACTCTGTTGTCACACTTGATATTGATACTTCTCCCAATCAAAACCGTAGTAGCGCCTATTGGCATTTTAACAATTCTCTACTTGAAGATAAACTTTACGTTGACTGTATTGAAGAGTTCTGGAGTCAATGGCAGACTCACAAGTCAGATTATAGTAATATCTGCAGCTGGTGGGACATGGGCAAATCACACATCAAAAGAGTAAGTCAGATGTATGCTCGTAAAAAAGCTCACGAAAAGAGGATTAAGATCACATCTCTCCAAGAGAGCATCAACATTATGCAATCCTCGCCTGACCTCACACCGGAAACTGTTGAAACTCTTAAAGAACAGCGAGATGCCCTCAACGTGATGTTTAAACAAGAGGCTCGTGGAGCTCTTACGAGAATGTGTTTTCAACATAGCAATGAGATCGATACTTGTTCTACATACTTTTTCGACTTAGAAAAACTCTGTCTCCGCTTCTAAAAGCATTAACAAAATTCGTCTTCCATTTGGTAATGTTACTGACGACCCTAGTCAGATTAAATGTCATATTCGCAATTTTTACAAAAAATTGTAGAGTGAAGTAGATATCAACAAGGATGCTCAGACTACTATTTTAGATGACATTCTTACTTTGGCTTCTTCTGATTCGGAAGACTGTGAAAGTTCGGTCACCATGGAAGAATTTGATGCTGCTGTTCAGCAGCTTAGTAAAAAGAAATCTCCTGGATTGAACGGCCTCTTGTCTGAATTTTATCAAGTTTTTTGGCCTATTCTTAGGGAGGACCTATTTACTGTTTTTGAAGCCTCTATACACCAAAACCTCTTGCCTGTCTCCTGTCGCAGAGCTGTAATTACTCTGCTTCCTAAAAAGGGGGATCTTCTGGATATCTCTAACTGGCGGCCAGTCTCGCGACTTAACGCCGACTATAAGATTTTTGCCAAAGTTCTTGCTAACAGACTTAAAGATGTTATCGGTAATATTATTCAGATTGATCAAAGCTTATACCCAGCAAGAAATGAGACCGAGGGGTACCCCTCTAACATGTCCAATCCCTATACACATTTCAGACTATTGTTACTTAACACATCCCCCCAAGATGTCTGAAACGAATTCCCCAGATTCCTGTGAGACAATGACCAACCCAAAGCAGGGGGGGGGTTCTCTCCGTCTCATACCTTGCTGCATATGTCAAAGCAAAACTGTGCCCGGTCGATCTATTTATGATAATGTTAATTTGATACGAGACGGTTTGTTATATTCAAACTACCATAACATTCCCTTAGCTATCTTAAATATAGATTAGAAAAAAGCCTTTGATAACGTCGATCATGCCTACCTTTTCAGGACAATGGAAACTATGGGCTTTGGCAATCAGTTCATTTCTTATGTTAAACTCATGTACAATCATTCTCAAAGCCTTCTGAAAGTTTGTGGGTCACTTACGTGCCCTTCCTCTTTTGAAAAGGGAATTCGACAGGCCTGTCTGCTTTCTGGTTTATTGTATACTATTGCAATAGAACCCCTCCTTCACACCCTTAGATTTAAGTTGCAAAATAAATGTTTTACGTTACCAGAGACAAGCACTGGAATTGCTGTCTCTGCTTATGTCGATGATGTTTCTGTTTTTGTTAGCAATAATGCTGGATTCTCTGTTGTGGAAGAAACTTGCAAAATGTACAGTAGAGCTTCAGCTGCTTCTTTGAGTTACCAGAAATCTCAGGGACTTTGGGCAGGCTCCTGGATTACCAGGACAGATCATCCTCTTGATTTTAATTGGAACAATCGAGGTTTGAAATTTCTTGGCGTGCAAATTGGAAATACTAATAATTATTTCCAGCTTAATTGGCAAGCATGCCATGATAAACTCACTAAAGCCTTAGCCCGGTGGAGGGGACTTTCAAAATATCTATCTTATAAGGGCAAAGTCCTTATTGCAAATCAGTTGGCCACCTCTCAAATTCTTCGTATCATTGCCTGTCTTTCACCTCCTGACCATATTCTTACTGAGCTTCACAACCGTCTCATAGATTTCGTCTGGTCAGGGGGAAGACATTGGCTAAAAAAAGAGCTCCTCTTCCAAAATAGATATTTCTACAGTCTGGATGCTTTGACGTTGCACGGAGACACGCACTTGAGCGACACATATTCAGTCAGGGAAACAGAATTTCCAAGGGGGAGAGCAGGTATTGCTCTTTGGACACATTTACCGCGTTTTGACCTGATGTCTGGCCGCGGTAAAGTACCCTTAGGCCGCACTATACCAAATACGCGCGCCCATAGAAAACAGTGCAAAATCGGACCGAAATAGCGCCACCTGTTGACTCTCCGGAAGAGGTTGGCCTCCTCCTTCCACTGGAAATTCAACATTATGACCAGAAGTTCACTTTTCTTTTAGCCTTCCCCGAAGATACCTCTAAAAGACTATATGCACTCAGCTCTGAATGTGCCCCCGCCTCTATCCAATACAGGCCCATATAGGTTGGGGCTTTTTGTGAAAGAAATACCCCATGATTTATAAAAATATCTCTATGATCCCTCCTGATTATGGCGTATCTCATTGTAAACACCTTGTAGGATCACAAAATATTAATAAGGTCGCGCGCGCGCAGAAATCCAACGATTTGATGGAATCGTGTAAAGCGCGTAGATGTAGGCCCTAGGTTATTTTTGTCTATGGGTGCAGACCACTAATTCAAGTGAGAATTTTTGACCAGCTCATTAGCATTAAAAGTGCCCCCCACAGTTTCTTTTGAAAAAGGAGATTGTTTGGCCCCCAAAATGGTGAGATTGTGTAAATCATTGCCAGGATCAACTCCCTGGGTATTTGAGCTTTCATATGAGAGCAGAAGGGCTAAAAACTACGGTTGAAAAATGGTCCAAAGTGCCCGAGAAAGTTGTGGGTTGCCACTTGAAAAATGGCTGCAATCAGACTTCGGAAAAATCACTTTTTTGGGGGTGATTTTGTTTTGTGGGAATGATTAAAAATGTAATTGGTTAACCCATACAAAATTGAAAAGAAATTGAACGATAAGTGACCAGACAAGAATTTCATTCGTGTTTCACAAATCTTAGGGATGTTGGCGTGCATGCTATTGGGCCCTGAACGGTGCTGATTGTACACTGTTTTCAATGGGGCTTGAAAAAATAGTGGACTGGACCCCTATGGGTGCAGTGTCCCAATTCAAGGAAAATTCTTCGCCAGGCTGAGGCGCAGAAAAAGTACCCCCAGAGATTGTTTCAAAAAGAGGGGTCTGTTTGGGCCAAGAAATGGTTGAATTGTGTCAGTATGGCCCAGGATCATCTCTGTAGATTCAGGGGCACCCATCTGGGGGCAAAGCAGACAAAAATGGGATTGAAATTTAGTCAGAAGAGCCCCAGGAAGGTGAGGATGTCATTTGAAAAATGGCCGCTGGGAGGGCTTGGCAACATTCACTTTTGGGGGGGGG